ATATATTTATAACTGTTAAAATCCTTCCGTGCAGAATCCAAAATTGGTCATCACTAATTCAGCTAAAAAATAAAAAACAAAGATGAGATAATATAAAAAAGTCTGGGAAAAAGAAGTCTGAATAGAAAAAGAAAATAACAACAAAATGAAATATATTAATATACATATAATATGGATATTTTAAATTTTTTGTATGAGGTATGAAAGTGATGAAAAATGGATGCGTTCAGTGAACTCTTATACTTGTTTGGTCTATATTTTTACTTCTAATGGAATATACCAATCAGATGCAAGAGATCACTACTGAGCGTTCAGTGAGTGGTTGTTCTTCTGGATGCACCTAACGATTAAAAATAAATTTTTAAAAGGAATAATAAGGAACTATTAACTTCAATTAATCTTTTATTAATTTCATTTACTAGTATTTATATTATCAATAATAAAAGCGTATTGATTTTTATTTAAAATTGATTTTTATTTAAAATGTTTAAGGTTGATTGACTGAAGTTCCAGATAGAGTTTCATCTAACAGTGTGAATGCTGCCTACTGCAACACATGTAAAAAAATTCTTCGCGCTCATGCCATGGATTTGCGGACTCATACTCAAACGGCCTATCATTAAGAGCATGAACTTTTTAGAAAAGCAGCATAAAATTATGCATTTTAGCAATATTAAGGATTAAAAAGAAAGCAAAATAAGAGATTTAAATCTTGCTAGATTTAAGTCTATATAGCATGTCATTCCAGTTTAAGAAGTATTGATCATCTTAGTAACGTATTAAATTCTTTTAAATTTTAAGTTAGAATTGTACCGAAATGCAGTAATTTAATTAAATATGTTATTACTTCAAATTTCTTAAAAGAGCTCGTTGAAGATGTTGATGATTGGCCTTTTTCATTGATCATTGATGAATCCATCGATGTGGCAGTATTTAAACATTTCTGCTTATGTATCAAATATTTTAGTATCAGTAAAAATAAAATTATTATTAATTATTTAGGCATGGTAAAAGATCGATAAAGCAGATGCAGAAACTTTATATACAGTTCTTGTCGATTTTTGTAACAAAATAAATCTGAATTTGAGCATGAGCTAAATTTGTTATTGATTTGGGAACAGATAGTGACTCCAATTTGTGGGGATGTAATCATTTTTTGTATATGATTTTAAAGTCGTCTGTTCCCAAACTGCAACTTGACAAATGCATTATCCATGCACTTAACAACGCCGTGTGCAGCTCAGGAATTCCCAGTAAATATTGATTATTTTTGTAATGAAATTTATAATTGGTTTTCTGTAAGCGCCGTGAGAAGGTCAATGTACAAGCTTACGTAGGATACAATTAATGGTGAGGATTCGAAAAAATAATTCCATCACTTTGTACAGCAATCAACAACTAGGAAGATACAATGTTGTCAGAGTCATTTTGGAACATTTCATTTTGGAACTGATTCGAATTAAAAACGCTTTAATAGCAATAGAAAAAGAAAAATGCGCTTACTATAAAGCGCGTACATTAAATCAAATGTTGAACGCGATGACGCAATTATATAATAATAAAATTTATAAATAATTTAAAAATAATTAAAACAATTCTTCATGATTGAACATTGTTAATTTATCATTTCAAAAAGAAAAGGTCGACTTAGGTGGAGCGTATGATGATTTAAAGAATCTGATTATTTTATTAGTTAGAAAAATTTTAAAATCCATTTTTATATCAAATAATTTCAAAGAACTTCAAAAAGCTTTCAGTAATGATTTAGCATATTTATCTGTAGACGAAGCTGATTTTAGTATAGAATATTATGAAGCCACTTGTTTTAAACAATATATAAAGAAAAAGTCATTAAACATTAAAAAAAAAAGTCATTGAAACACGGACTTACAATTTTATTAAAAAACTGAGTTTACAATTGATACAGATTGTCCATCAACTTGAAATTCTTTCAGCAAATTTTTTACCTAAAATTTGCTTAAATCAAATTCAATCTAAGTTTAAAGACTTATCTTCTTTTCTAAAAAAAATGATTAAGTCAAATGATCTATGTTTGAGTCCCAGTGGAATAGATTATTAAGCATTAACTGGACTAAAATCTTCGGAGAAAATATATTAAATGATTGTTATTCATTCTGGCCGTGTGTTTATTTATTTAAAAATGCAGATGGTAAATATATTTTAAAAAAAATTAGCATTATTTGCACTCAGGCTGTTATCACTACCGTCAAGCAGTTGTAGAATGCAGTTATAAAACGCATTTTCTCTATAATGAATATGATTAAAACTAAAGCACGTAATAAAATGCTGATTGAAATGCTAGACAGCTTAATAAGAGTACGAATGTACTTTTATATAAACAATGTATGTTGTTCAAGTTTCGTAGCAAGTAAGTCTATGTTAGCTGATTTTAAAAAATAGTTTATCTTAACAAAAAAATATTTGATGACAATAACATGGAAGAGATAGAAATTGAAATATGTTACAAGAATTAAAGTTTACCTTGTTTTAGTTTATCCGATATACCATAAAAATTTATGCTGTGTAATACAATTATTACAATACTCATGTGGTATGCATAGTTAACTACGTAATGTGCATTTCATTTAAAAAGGTTACATTACCAAAGATCTCTGTTTATATTATATATATATTATATATATTATATATATGCAATTATATCGTATTCATCCTTTTAAACGCAATTACTGATTATGCGATATCGCGCATTCATCAGTCTTAATATTTGAAAAAAGAAAATAATAAGAGAGAATAAAACAAACTTGGCAATGAGTAAAGTAAACTTAGGGATCATTCGTACATGATAAGATTAATAAAAGAGTTCGTTTGCCGTAATGAACTAATCGACATAATACAACTTGGAAAGGAAAAAAATCTTGACTCGAAAATATGATACTTCTTATAATATTCTAATAAATTAATCTAATCTACGCGTATATTTCTAAAAAAAGAGGAAGAAGGTATTCGGAGCTAATACACATCTTGAGACTTAATTGTTTTTTCGTTGTTAAGCTACAATACTTTAGACAAGATGCCATTAACAATGAAGGCACAGAATATCGTTCGCAATCCGATTATGAGATCGCTTTCAGAGATATAAGAGAATGCGAACGCAAATTGATTCAGAAAATGGAAGTATTAGAAAATATGATTAGCGCACCTTCGCTAATCTCTTTACCGCATTAATACTTCCCGTGTCGACACCTACCAATGAAGGCCTATCAGCATCGTTTTTTTAAAGCCTGCGACTTTCAGCAAACGCAACATTTTCCGGAACTACGCCCTATCCAAAATTGAATATTCGAGACGCTCTCGAACTCGTATCTAAATACAACGGGCATAACATACCTGTTTGATAATTTGCATTTGTAAGAGGAAACGGTTTCTTTAATTGACGAAACTTATTCGATTGTTTGTTACCTTGTAATAAATTAACGCAT